CAGTTGATGGCGATCAACACGCGGCCGGCCCTTACCAACATGCGCACGCGCGCACACACTAACACACAACACTTACGCGCACATACGTACAACATAGGCATATACTCATACAAGGCGAACATACAGGCACACACACACACACACACACACACACACACACACACACGCACGCACACACATACACACACACGCGCACACACACACACACACGCACACACACACACACACGCGCGCGCACACACACACAGGCACACACACACACACACACACACACACACACACACACACACACACACACACACACACACACACACACACACACACACACACACACACCTGTTCTTCTGTCTCTCCGTTGGCGTCGCTGGGTATGGGGCAGGCCGGTATTTGGGTCGCCTTCGTCGGGGCCCTCCGGGGGCCACCAGAACACGTTTTCGTCCGACGCTGCCCCAGTGAATAGAGAAACGCCGCCAGTGGGGCGGCTCGCCTCGTCCCGCGCGCGTGCTCACGAGCCATCCGAGCGTGTCCGGTTCGGAGCAGCGCGCCCCCCTAATGACGAAACGAAAGTGCACGCTTCCACCCCCCTTCAATACAGGGATGGAAGGGGGGGGGGGGGGGGGGGGTTCATTGGGGGCCCCAGTTTCGGGCCCCACACCTTGGGAAGTAGCATCCGCCGCCTGATGACGTCACGTCCACGCGTAATCAACCAACAGAACGCGAGGCGCCTGCTTGATTCTATCGCTCGTTGTGGGGTGCCGCCGCCTTGCCGCTTCTGGGGCTGAATTGAAATAGTCGCTGCTGCTCCCTCCTCCTTGTTCGCCCAACGCCGTTCAGCTGCCGTGTCGACGTCTCTCCTACTTTTTTTGTCTCGTGAATTACGGGATGAGGGTAATTTATAGGACCAGTTTGGGACAAGGTTCTTTGGGTACGCGCTGCTGCAGCGAAGCCTCGTATCCGGAGCTGCTTGTGGGCGTCGCAAGAAGATTGGATAGTCCCATTCTTGCGATGAGTTGTTCCTCGCGTTTCGCACCTGTCAGAATCATCGCTCCACCGAAATAGTTTCCGGGGAAAGTCACGTGACCGAACGTGGGTGGTGCACAAACAGCAAACGGGGCACATAACTTTGCCGTGAATAACAAAAGTAATAATAATACAAAAATCCTGGCTTATATATTCCGTTCACTGCTACGAAAGCGTTTTAGCGCTTGATTGATTTTGTAATAAAGAGCCTGTCTTACGGGAAGTTTCCCACTGCTCTATCGCGGGGTCACGAACATGTCTGTAGACCGTTTTTGTTGGTCCAATGGGACCGTTACGCAGGGAACAAACACGCGACAGACAGTATCCGCAGACTGTCTTTTGTGTAATGTATTACGACCGCGGCTTCGAGGTATTTCGATAGATCAAGAGATGAATCATAAAGCCTCGCGTCCACACGCGCGCCTCCCACGATGCTGCACGGAGCCGTCCAGATGGAAACCACGACCCCGGCGACGTGTCTAGAATTAACTGCTGTCGGATCTCACGCTACGAAATGGAGCAGATAACTGAGAAAATCCGCACATGGCTGCAGCAGAGCAGATGATAAGGACGAGTTGAGACAGCTGTGCTTTCAACGCTCTATGTACCCACGTGCGTCGCCATTACGCAGTGCCAGCTGGCCGCGCGGTTCAAGCTCCCCGAGCACGGACCACGGTGGCACCGACCAAGCCATCGAGTAGACGCCTCGCTTATTAGAAGAACAAAAAATATTGTTGCCGAAATCGTTACGCGGTTTGTCGTTCAAATGAAATGGGATTTTGCACCGTCTTGTACCGCTTAATAAGCGTTTCTTTATTGAACTCCTAAGGAACTGCCGTCGAAATTCTAGGAAGGTTTTTCGTGGGCGTCCGTAAAATCTCATATCGCATTAAAAAAAGAAAAAAGGAATCAGTTCACACAATTGTTTTATCCCGCGGACGGTCCTCCCGCGACCGAGCAACGACTCTTTTGTTGTAGCATTACTACAGTTGAATTTTTTTTGTTTTTTCTTACTGCGTTTAGAGGTACTCTTCATAATTGTATTTGCCGCTCACAATAGTATACGCAATCTTTGCGTAGAAACGCTGTTCGCGTGAAGTAAAGGGCCTGCCGATGTGCCGCACCGACCTGCAGCACCACCGCATGCGGCGTGGCATATTAGAGCCGCGCGTTGGTGTACAATCGATGTAGGCATAAAACAGACGCGTGCCGGGGCTTCCCTGGTTACAAACCCAGCCACGGACGTCCAACTACGTAAGGTTCGCCCGTAAATGCTATCGCGTTAAAAGACAAACATAATCTAGCAAAACGCACGAAATTCATTGTCCTCGTCCAGCGCCGCTTCCCGCGTAATTCGCCCAACTCGGGGTTGCCCAACAACGCCTGTCCGATTTCGCACAGTTGGCGAACGCGTTTTCGAAAAGAGGGATCTTTTCATGTCAGACACTTTTTTTTTCTTTCTCCATCGTTGTGTTTAGCCTCCGTAAGCGGTTATCTGCCGCCGACGAACAGAGCGCGCAAATCGTTCCCTTTCGGTGCGTGACTCAGCTTAATTCGATGTGTCAGCGTGAGCGCGCGCTCGCGGGCACACGGTAGCGTTGATGAAACGCGCTCGTCCCTGATTCGCCGGTCAGATGTGCATAGAGAGCTCGCCTGCCTCCCCCGGTTTTTTGCTCGGTGATGGATGGATGGACGTAGATGGACGGAGGTAGGCAGCCCTGCGGGCGTGTGGGCTCTTCTTCGCATATCGGGGCCCCCTAAGTGGACGGGCCCGGTGACGGGCATTCCGTCTTGCTTCCGTTGGAGCACCTAATCAGTAAGGGCTGCTGGGCGAATACGCAGACAAGCTGAAAGAGAGAGGAGGTGATGAGAAGGCCGAGCTCCGATTGGAAGGATTAGTGGGACGTAAAGCTACTCTTGTCTCTACCCTCCGTTTCCCTCCAATCGGAGCGAGCGCCGTCTGCCCTTCGAGGCGTTCGAACGCCGGACGCCAGCGTTTGGCGTTCGAGTTTCGAACGTTAGAACTGCGTAATACGAAGATTACGTTCGCGAGAAAAGGGAACCGTGTTTTTCGGGCCGCGTAAATAAAGGAGCGCAATTTCGTCCGCTTCTTCTACCCGAGCTCTGATTGGCTCTGATTGATGGATAGTGGGTAGACATCGAAGCAAGCTGCCTTGCGGTCTACCCACTATCCTTCAGACAGAGCCAATCAGAGCTCGGCGTTTCTGAAGTCACGACAACCTCCGTAAAAGAAGCAGACGAACTTGCGCTCCGCATAGCCACGCAGAAAGCTCGAACTCCGTGAGAATGTGACGTAAAAAGATAATTGAAAAATAAGAAATTCCTCTTTGAGTCGAAGTCCACCTAAACCTGATATTGTCAGAATAAGAACTGACATTTTGGACGCATGTGGGATTTATGTCAGTGAAAAGGACTTGTCAGCCAGCAAGAGCACATTCTATTCTTTCTTGCGGGCAAGCTTTTTGCCACCGAAGTAGATACTATATAGTGCCCGCAATGTCATACCTTGTTTTATTGCCAGGTCTTGGTCAGCTTAATCAAACTTGTGGAATTTCTTCTAGATTATATTAACGAACGGCAGCGAAAGTAGACGCTTAATTTTCCTTTGTTTGTCCTCCTTTTTGTTTGGGAATGATGAGAACGAAAATAATATTTCGAGGTTTTCAGTTGACGTCACATCGCCTCCGTCAAATGGATCCGACCCTCGCCACGAATCGAAAAACTCATTTTCGTCAGATATGGCACTCTGATTTAGCTGGCAAATGTGCGGCTATATGCGGAGGGCCCCTCTGCTACAAACATCCGTCAACCATCTTGTCTGAATTAAAAGTGTCACAATCGACCTCTGACGGACAAATCCACTATATTACGTGGGATATTCATGTACCTTGTGTGCCATTGCACGGGTCGATTATTAAGATTATTCTGAAATGCTGTCAGGAATCCTTGAGCAACTAATGGGATACGTATTATCTTGTTTTTACACTTTCTTGTTCTCGTGCGCCCATGTTTTCTTAATTATCTCAGTCAGTGGTTCTCAACCACTAATGTTTCGTGGACCCCTTTGGGTTCGACAGAGATGATGGAGGACCCGTTTCGTGGCGAGGGGAAAGAAAATGTATAGGTTAATTATGATGATGCTTTGATAAGTGGATCTTACTAAGGGCTAGTGTGCTGTAGACTTCTTTCATTGACATACACATGATCAAACTCACCCTAAAATTAAAACGTTCCTTCTCAATCTGGAAGAAAAAAAAAAATTACAACTTTTCTTGACGTGCCTGATGAGACAGGGCTCTGCGGACTCCTAGAATGCCTTCGCGGACCCCCCTTTGAGAACCACTGATCTAAGTCATTAAGCAGATAGCTGGGGCTGAAGTCAAGCCTTTATAAACTTTTTTCATCTTCTTTTTTTTTTTTTTTTTTTTTTTGCATTGCGTTGCCGTGCTTTGCTGCCCAAAGACCGTGCGGCACATTCTAGGCGAGTTCTTCAACGCGCGCCAGGAGCCGTATCAGGCTCCATAGCCATCGACGTGCTCCCCTTCGATTTTTTCCCCTATGTTATCATTTTACTACCTATTTGATACTGTTTATCATCGCTTAATTAATATTATCATATATAAGGTGGGATGCTCGCTTGTTCGTAAGCGAATACTCGGTGTTTCTCAACTGTTTTTGTCGTATCATATTTGCTTTTTCAAAGCTTCGAAACAATGGCGAGCCTTGCGGTAAGGCTTCAACATCAGTGTTTATTGTCGCTTCGTTTTGCGTGCGTTTCTTTTTTTTTTTTTTGTTCTTTCTCATTTGTGTTTTGGTCGCGTTTTCTATTTTCTATTTGATATTGACTTCTGTTTAACTCAAAATTAGTCTGTGGAGGTATGAACGGTATCTTTGCTTGTTTTAATATTCCTCCCTGTATAAAATACGTTCTGACGTGATTTTTTTTTTCTATCCTGCAGGGAGGCTTTGCCCGGGTGCACGAGCTCACGGACTTGACGACGAACCGGGTGTACGCCGGCAAGATCATTCCCAGGTCCAGGCTCAACAGGCCCTACCAGAAAGAGAAGGTGAGTGGCGCCATCTACCTCATGCGTGGGCCACACGTGTTACATGCCAGCAGAGAAAGTTCGACTTACTTTAAAAACAAAACAGTTTTAGTGGTTTTAGCGTCGTCGTCGCGATGAAAGAATGCTTTTTTATGTTCGTTGTAACCTCCCGCAATGAATTGTGAATGCACTCACGGCGCAACTCAGCGCAGTAAACACGCAGTGAGTGACCTTGCGCTTTTAGTGTGGGTATGTACAGGCGACTAACTCTACGCGGGTTGCCTGGTTAGCGATGTAACCAAGCCGGCGCGCCTGGCCGAAGCCCAGCGTATAAAACGGCGGTGCCGTGCCAGCGGCCGGCCTCGGCGCTGGTCCAGGAAGCGATTGTCTCTTCGGCAGACTTCCGGCCGTCACGCGCTTCGGCCGCCGACGTCTCCGCTGAGCGCACGAGGGAACGACGAGTTCCGCGGCTCAGAATCGTACGTCCCTCAAACGCATCTTGTGTTGTGCCAACACCCCTCGTTGTCGCGGCAAGTTTTGCGCATTATACATGCGCCGCGCAAAGTAGGTCTTACAAGTTCGCTCGTTGAAAGGGAAGGAACGACGCGCGTTTGAAACATGTACGTCTTGGACATCAATCTAATCGAAGATGCACCTTCATCGTAATGCAACACTTGAAGCGAGAAGTTAGTGTCGTTCCGCGAGAAGCCGGACTTTTTTTCTTGTTTTTGCCTACAGTTCTTGCGCTGAATGAAGTAGTAGAGCTGCATTCTCTACGTCACCATACGTCACCCACTGAGGGCCATCGCGGGTCACGTATCGTACACGATTGGAGATCGAATTTCGACTAGTTTTATTTGCATCTGCATAAACAGGTGCCGAGGCCGCGGACAAAAAAAAAAAAATCTTTGTTGGTTTGGCGAGGTCCGGGTCCCGAGTGCTTGGCAAAAAGTAACATAGATGCAGAAGAAAAAAACGAACGTATATACAGAGAATAGATTTGCTAACCGGTTTACGTGTGATACTACATATAAAAATAAGTAGGTGCATTGATTTGCGATGTAAACTGCAAATGTCAATACCAGGCTTGTAAAGTACCTAGGTACAAGTAACTGGAAATCGGTATATTGGTACTGTCGTTGTACCTGAGCTACAAACGGAGGTACTTTCATTTCTCGGTATCTGTATCTATATCATAGGTCCATTTTCCAGTGAATTGTAACGATGTGAAGTTACTTTTTACAGGTACTTTTCTTTCTACTTCGTCAAGATGGTAGAAACTATAAATCTTGAAGCATTAACACACTACCATGTGCCGTGATGAACGTTGAGTTGGGTACAACCTGGGAGGCACTGACTTGATCGAACGACGTTTTAGCGAACGAAGCCCCACCCATGATGTTTCATCGAACGACACTTTAGCGAATGGACCAATTTATCGAATCGCTTCGGAACTCCGTTTAGGGAAAATAGCGACCTGCTTCCTTCATCTCAAACCAAAATCGACTTCTTTGCGTGTTTGAAGCTCCTGTGACAGCTAAGAAGGGAGGAGATAACTTAAAAGATGTGCGCAGTTTCTGTTTCTGTTTTTTCTGTTACTTCTGCTCTTCAAAAAAAAAAAACAAAAAAAACCAGTCTCGGGGTAAACGACGAAATGGTCGCAGTTTCTGTTGCCTGTATCTTGTCCTAGTGGTGGCTCTCTTCTGCCATAAATACAATATAAAATATAATTGAAAATAAATTATTATTACAATCATAAAGCAATGTAACATCGCGTATATAATACAGTTTCCACTCAATAAATCGGACTCTAATTTGGCAGTTATCGAAACTGAAAGAGTTCCGAAAGAAAGAAAAAAAACTATGTTTCATCTGACTAACGAAAAAAAAAAAAAAAAACACGAGGAAGGTTGAAGCCTTTCATTGGTTGTCGCGAAAGTTAGGTTCATATAGACCTTTCCAAAAATCACCTCCTGCGCGCTGCCATCTTTGTCTGCTGGGCTGTGGAACGCCTTCTGAGCATGCGGTGCAGCTCTGTTGTGCGTATATCAGACGCTGCGCATCCGTCCACAGCTCAGTGACTCGGCATTTTTCACGCGGGTGATAAGCCCTGGAAAGGTCTATATGCACTTGACTCATGCATTTCTTCATGCGGCCGACGTCTTCTGCACCCGTCGGCGTCAGCACCGGCCCCTAGGGCAAGAACGTCAACAAGCGAGTTTCGCCGGTTTAGGCGTGGCTTGTAAACAGTGGAAGCTGTGTCCTCGGTGATCCAATTGGAGCGTGGGGATAAGGCACGTGAGGACTCAACTCCCATGTGGACATTACATTGACACCAATAATGGTACATTTATCGTACTCGTTTTTGTGTGAATCCTTAGTATAAAAAGCTTTACTTCCAATACATTCTGATAAATTTGGGGAAAATAAAGTATCTTTGAAGTAACTATACCTGTCCTGTACCTAGGTACATTTGTAAGCGAGTACCTAGGTATACCTTGGCGTATGAGTAACTGTATCTTAGGTACATTTTTTTAAGTAACGTTTTCAGCCCTGGTCAATACTAGCTAAGGTTATTGCGGATTCGGCTGGGTGTGGTGTCGAATACGTGTTCTAAGTCAGCCCGTGCCGTAGAGAAGTTAGCCAGGGGAGACGCGACGTAATGCTTTCATCGAGCATAAAGCGGCGCTGCAGCGCTCGACCATGGTCCTTTACACGGTGAAGCCACCGAACACCACCCTGGACGGCTTGCCCGGACACTTTCCCGGGTTCAGCCATACTTGAGACCAGTTGAAAGAGAAACGTCCCAGCGAGCAACTGACTAAACAACATTGGACCCACATCATCCCGTAACATCATCCCGCCACCCGCGCCGACAAGCTCCATTTCAACATCGTCAGCACCTCTTTGTCATCTGTACACAATCTCATCCCATCGTCCTTAGATGCGGCGCCGCAGGCCTTCCTGGTATGGGCTACTTGCCTTTCTGCGGCACCGCGGTTCTCCTGAACCAAAATAAATATTATTATTATTATTATTATTATTACAAGCGTGGGTATCTGTCTACACGCGGTAACAAAGCGTCTAAAAGAAGCAAAAAAAAAAAAGTTCAGGTTTTTCATTTTCGTAAAGGAGGAAGACCAGCGCAGCTGTACTCGATACACTGTGTGCTTCTTCTTCGTCGTTTTTCGCGCTGTTTCCCACGATGAATTCTCACCAACGCGCCCAACTATCCATTCTCCTATTACAGCTGGAAAGGTTGCCGCCATCTACGAGAGACGGCGGAAACCATACTGGTTGTGTGCTTGCCGCCGTCGCTTATAGATGGCGGTAGCTGTCCAGGTAGGTTTGTGTCGACATACACGGACACGATTCTGGGGAACCTAGCCCTTGTTTAACAAAACAAATGCAGCTACCGCCTTCCGTTCTTTCAAAACGATAAGATTGCTTTTCTTGTAACTTTTTTTCTCGTTCTTTTCTTTCACAAATTTACGTCTCCCAGCGTATTCCGGCAGCTTAGCGTCTGCGAGAAATATGAAAAAAAAAAAAAAAATGCGGGCAATGACGCAGAACCGAAACGCGACCGAGAAATGTTCGATTTTTCTCGTCAGAGGCGCGCTGCCCAAACGTGAAAGGGACGTGTCTGTTTGCTGTTTACGCTCGCTCTTTTCTCGGAACGAATTTAGAGTGAATCGCTGCAGCCCATCAATACCTAGATAATAAGGCCGGCTGACTTTTTACGTCACGTAGCGCCGACCAGAGGCAGTGCGCGGCAGGGTGTCGACACAGCAGCCCCGAAATATCGAGGCCATTTTTTTTTTCCTTCTTAGGTCACCTATTACGATCGAGCGGTGGGATCGGAAAATCATTGGACACGAATTGCGCCTTAACGCACACAAATGTTGCGCTCAAAATGTAAAACAAAACAAAAAAAACTATATTTTTGGGGTGGAATGAAAGCGTAATCGGAAAGCTATATTATTTCTTCCCGAGTGAAACTGAACATTTTTCTTTTCGATTTTATTTTCGGTTTTAGGGGAAAGTTCGGGTATCTTAGAATTCATTCTACGCACCGTCGGTTTGCCACCAGAATACCCGATGACATGCTGATTCTGAGATCATGCTCATTGCTTCGAGACGTTCTTCCTCGCAGTGTCTTTTACGCGGGTTCTTCAATGTTCTATCGTTGCAATAAGTGCGCACTCGCTAGAGCTTTTTAATACCCACTTCTTTGGTTTCGTTAGGAAATGTGATTCTTAATTTTCTTTGCACGCGAACAAAAACCGTTATAGACCATCATTTTTTTCCCCAGTTCTAGAGCAGATCAATAACTCTTCTTTTTTTTTTATGTAACGGAACTTAAAACAGAACAGACAACGCTCCGACTCGCTGGCCACGTCAGCTTTCAGGCTGGAAGTCGTATTCTCGCTGATTTAACACGAGTGCCACGCCAGCGCTGACGCTACAGCCGCGCCCAGTCTGTGTCCCGCTTCCGGTATCTGACCTAACAAAAATCCATCACTCTGGCCTTCTTATTTAGTGGAAAAACTGGGCGAGTCGGTTAAGCACAATCTTCTCTGTCCTTCTTGGTTTTAGAGCGCAGCTCTTAGGCGCCCGTTTCCGGCTTGAGCGGCGTCGCCGTCGGCGTAACCAAGGTCACCCCAAGGTCACGTGACCCCAGGTCGTGTGACCCCCAAGGTCATGTGACCCCTCCCAATGTCACGTGACCCTCCAAGGTCACGTGACTCCCCCCGAGGTCACGTGACTCCCCCGAGATCACGTGACTCCCCTGAGGTCACGTGACCCCCGATGACGTCATCGTCACTGATGACGTCACCGGCATCCGCATTGTTATCGTCATCATCACTGATGACGTCATGAGTGACGTCACTGATGACGTCACCGGCATCCGCATCGTCATCATCGCTGATGACGTCACCGACATCCGCATCGTCATCATCACTGATGACGTCACCGGCATCCGCATCGTCATCGTCGTCATCACTGGTGACGTCATCAGT